TATTTGGACCATCTTCTGCTGCTTTCCCAGGCCATCAGCGGGGAGCTGGATCAGAAGTGGAGCAGCAGGATCTTGAACCAGTGGTCATATGGGATGCCAGCGTTGCAGGTGGCAGCTTAACCTGTTATACCATGACATTGGGCCCAAGTAGTTTTTTTGTTTTGTTTTGGTTTTGTTTTGTTTTGGTTTTGTTTTGTTTGTTTTTTTAAAGGCAGAGCCACAGAGAAAAAGGGACAGAGAAGTAGAGATAGGGAGAAAGAATTCTTCTATCCGCTGGTTTCCTCCCTCAAATAGCCACAAAAGCTGGCTGGGGCTGGGCCAAGCCAAAGCCAGGAGATTGGAGCTACATCCAGGTTTCCCACAGGGGTACAGGGGCCCAAGTGTTTGGGCCATCCATCTTCTGTTGCTTTTTCTATGCCATTAGCAGGGAGCTGAATTAGAAGTGGAGCATCCAGGTTTCAAACCGGGGCCCATATGGGATGCTGGAGTCACAAGCAGTGGTTTAACCCTTTATGCCACAACACTGGTCCCTTAATTTAAGGAAGGAAGGAGGGCCCATGACAGCAAGAGTACATGGGGTTCATAGAGTCATAATATCCACACCACACCTCCCATCTAAGGGGAACTGAGCAACTAAACAAGCAAATATAACCAAGTGTGACAGGTGCCATGCTATGGGAACAACAGAACATCACAGAGGACAGGAGTGCTGGGAAGGCCCCTCTGGCAGAGGGGGAGAAGGGAGCACCAAGAATTTCTTGGAGAGGGAAGAGAATGTGAAAAGGTCAGAGTGAGGGATCCCAGGGCCGATCTGGACCTGATGGTTCAGTAGGGCTGAAGTGGAGAGCCAGAGGAAAGAGGCCAACCCCCAATGCTAGCAGACAGATGCACTGCACCATATCACAATGGAGCTTGCCAGCAGAGGGGAAGAGGCTGAGGCCTTCCTAAGGGCAGAGGGACGCAGAACTGCTTCCGACTGGAGGACAGCAGGATCAGATTTGTTTCAGAAAGGCCTTTCTGGCTGCCTTCATGCAAACAATTTTGAGGGGACAAGACTACAGGCAGAGAGACCAACTGGCTACTGGAGCAATCTAGAAGAAAGGCAAAATAGAGGGGCTAATAAGTCAAGAGATACTGGGGAAGTAAAACTGACAGAGTCTGGTCATTGGGCATGGTAAATGAGGGAGAGAGAAGAGTTCAAGAAAACCTGCTGGCTTAAGCCACTGGACAAGAGATGGTGGTGCAACTCATTTAGGGAGAGAACAGCAGGAGGACCAGGTTTGCGGAGAGGAGGACCATAGCTGCTATGGGCAGGCTGACTTCAAGTTGCTGTGGGTACCTAAGTACTTAGAGTAACAGATCTGGAAAGAGAAATAGACTAAGATAGAGTATTCAAATTATTAGCAAGTAATTTGGGGTCATCTGATTGAGTATTAAGATCCATGGATGGGGAGCTGGCATTGTGGTACTGTGTGGGTTAAGCTGCCACCCATAATGCCAGCATCCCATACCAGACAGAGCATCAGTTTGAGTCCTGGCTACTCCACTTCCAGATACAGCTTCCTCCTACTGCACTTGATAAAGGCAGTGGGAAGATGGCCCAAGTATTTGTGCCCCTGCTACCCATGAGAACAGGATAGATTCCTGGCTCCAGGCTTCCGCCTTGCCCAGCCCTGGCTGTTGCAGCCATTTGAGGAGTCAACCAGCAGATGGAAGATCTCTGTATCTCCCTTTCTCTCTGTCACTCTGCCTTGCAAATAAATAAATTAAAAAAAAAAAAAAAAAAAAAAAAAAAAACACGGATGGGCTTTAAGGATCAGAAAACATGCAAGGTTATGATGCATATGTTTACAAAAGTCTTATGAGACTGAGTGCTCAGAGCTTTTATCAAATTTTCAAAGGAGCTCATGATCCCACGACAGATGAAGAAGCACTAAGAGAGACAGGAAGAGACAGCCAGCACCAGAACTTTCGGGAACTCTGACACTAAGGAAATCGGAGCTTGGTGTCAGGAAGGCACAAGAAAGGCTGCATTTTGAGAAGACAAAGCGTCTCCATCCATGTAACCTCACGCGTTCCATGAAAAACAGGGACTAAAATATGTCTGCTTGGACTTCTCAACCAGGAGGCCACTGGGTGAACTTCGTAGGTGCTGTTAAGACCAGGGTGATGGAAAAAGACCCGCTCAGGCTGCATCCCACTGAGATGAGTGGCAGGTAAGGAAGAGGGGCAGGCTGGTGTATCCAGCCAACATCATGAATCTGAATAGCAAATGAAGAAATAGAAATCGGTCTCAAATTCGTCCCGTCTTTAAAAAGGCATCCCCCTTTTGAGGTGCTGGTGAAATGTCTCTTGGCAGCTTCATTAAACCTTCACACAGTCCCTGAAGGAACCTCCTTGTGCTGAACTCCCCCAGAGCTCATCTCACCCATCACTGGTGAGAATACAACTCGCAACAGTGAGTGCACCCAGCGTTCACCAGCAGCACACAAACTCTTCAAAGGGAAGGCAGTCTCCATTTGCCTCTCTTCTTCCCAATTCTTCACAGTGCCTTCTCACAGCAGGCACTCAAGTCAGGACTGAATGGATGTGACCTGGAAGGTGAGAGAGCTGACCCTGACAGAACAGCTGGTTAAGTTGTGTGACCTCTGGACAAATCAATTAGCCTTCCAGAGGCTAATTTTCATTCCCTGTAAAATGAGGAGGTTGGACTCTCAACTAGTAGAGGAGGAGATGTGTGTGACTGGGGAAAAAAAGATACTCAATTGTTTTTGTAATATACATCACAGAAAGTAAGAATGAATTGGAAACCAAACAATACATGAAGAGTAGAATGGATTAGAAAAGGTGGAGAAATATTGGACAAGACAATTTGTGATTTTAGGTTCAAAATTCTACAATTAGTTGGTCGTACTGTTTAGTAGCTCATGCAAGGCACTACACCATACATTTTAGACAAAGAACAAATGCCATCTTTGTCCTCTGGAAAGTGATATCCTATTACAAACACTAAAGCATGATAAGCGAAGCTGTAATTTTCTCTGTAAACAGATCATGTGTACGCACCTTCTACTGTGTGTGCTGCGGATCGTTATGAAAATCACCTAGAAAAATACATTAGGTTTGCTTTTCCTTTCGGAAGCACCACACATTTGTAAATTTGACCGTCGATGATTTGACTGCTTCAAAGAGAAAGAAAAAAGAAATCTGGCCAATGGTACCAGTTTGATTGTATGCCCTTCTCTTTGGCCATAAACCCAATGCACACTGTTCAAAAGGCTCTGGTTTTGTGTAATGGCATCACTAGGAACAAACTACCTTCCCAAATAGTTCGCATTTCTACCAGCTCAGTTTCTCCTTTTACCTTTTCTCAATGCTTCAAACCCTGAAGTCTGAAATTGTCAGATGGACGCTGTGAAGTCCAAATACTCCTACGTAACTTTGGGGTCAGTTATAATTTTGCCAGAAGGCAGTGGGGTTCAAATAATACCTCCCTACCAGAATGAGGTAATTATTCCTCACCAAGCTCTACACAACACCATTGGAATTCAAAACACCGAAGGCAGAATTTTACCAAAAGCTTCTCTTCCCAGAGTGAAAGACTGAAGAAGCAGCCCTCTCTCTCCAGATAACCCAGGTGTCGGTCAGCCTTCCAAACCTTCACTAACAACTCTGGCCAAGGCACTGCTGGGCATGGGTTATGGGCCGGGGCTGAGAAAGCCCAACAGGCACTTAATTCTTCAGTCAGGTAGTCCTATCCCAGGGAGGAGTGGTGCGGGCCAGAAGGCGGCCTGACCACATTTCCCAAGACAGTAGTAACTAAACACTGCATTTTGGGAGGGGGAAAAACAAACTGCGTACTGGGTGGATACCAGGGCTCCTTTTCTCCATTACTACTTAATAGCCATACAAACTAATACCTTCCCCTTCCCGGAGAAGAGAGGAAAGAACATGCAAGTCAAGATTCTGACACAAATACTTGTGATGTTGGTGGCTAGGTTTCCATTACAGAGGAAGACGGGGAAACCAATAGGAAGAGCCAGGGAGAGCAGGCAACTGGGGACAAAGAGTACTTTCACCTTTCTCCTACTTCGAAAAAAAAAAGCTATTTAGCAAATAAAATTTTATAGCAGCTGGCACACTGTTGCATTTCAAACAACAGTAAAAACCAAAACAAAAACCAGCTGCATTCTCCTGCTGTGGCAGTCCACGTAGTCACTGGACAACACGCTTCATAACTAAAAGGACACTTACCTGCTTGTCTCAAGTAGGGGGAGAGTGGGGCTACAGAAAATGCACCTCAGCTTTGGATTTCCAGCTTTCCCAAGAGCCTTCTAAGTACCCTCAGTACTTCCAATGGGAAGGAGCAACGTGCAAACAAGTTACAAAGCCTTGGTACTGCCTGTCATTCCCTTCCCCCACTCAGACCAGAGGCTGGCCTCCCTCACTTTAGATCCTTGAAACGTAAAATAGAACCAATAGATCCGGGTGGTTTCTCCCTGTATCCCCTGTCCTTAAAGAAAAGTATATGAAACTGTTTCAAAAAACCCTGAAGTATCGGAGACAAAGCAAAAGAAAATAAATCAGAAAGGGAAAGGAGAAACAATAAACAGGATAGTGAACCTTTAGTATTTTTCTTCCTTCAAAAAAATAAAAAGACCCAAGATTTTTACATTGAAAAGAAATAGTTGGACTCTGCATATATTATTTTTAATTCATGGAACAATGTAGCCATTTGTTTTTGTTTTGTTTTTTTCCTTTTAGGACATTGTTTTCTGAGCACATAACTTAGGGGCAGTACTACGCAAAACACAAATTCAAAGTAAAACCCTGAGAGGACAAAAACACCACCGTAAGAAAAACTCTTGATAAGTCTGGCACTCTTTCCAGTCCATGTAAAAGAAAACTCAGTTTAGAAATACGATAAACATTTCTGAAAAACACACAAAAAAGTAAGGAAAGAACAATGAAGTAGTAGAAAACATTTGAAGATAACTCACATTTCCCCTCCTAGAAGCGCTATTCCTTTACCTCTTACGTCCTCACGTGCAGTGTGTACATGCATGGAGTCGCTCTGCTAAACAACCACATGGAAAATTTCTGTTCCAGATAATGCTGCAGGACAGGGCTTGGCAGCTACAAGTTGTAATCAGAATGCTTCAAGAGCTAATGTAAGAGAGATAACAACCAAATATGCATTGCAGTGCACATGGTGTTAACTCTTTGGGGATAAAACAGGCTGTTGGTGGGGGGGGGGGGTGTCAAAAGCTGGTAAGTTAGATTTTCTATGCACCATCCAGCAACGCAAACTGGGGAGAATTTGACCTATGAATAAGTGAATTGATGACAACACAAAAGATTCTTTCTGGAATTAAGGTATTCTTGTATTAATTGGTTAAGGTGCTCAGGCATACAAGGCTCGAATGGCCAGAAGCTTCCGGGTCCTGGAGGGCATTTTCCCAGCAACTGAACAGGCCTACATTGCCATCCACAATTCACTAAGGATCCTGGGGCCATCAGGTTGGCAACTGAAGAGGCTACTTATTTAATAAATGTGCAAATCCACGGTACAGTGGGCCACTGCTCCCCAAAAGTAATCTACAGAAGAAAAGAATGCTAACTGTATTTGTGCTGTAGTCCAAGAAGGGAGAATAAAGAGACCTGCGACTTGATTAAGTTTTCTGTACTTGGTCGACAGACAGGCTGAGATAAAAGGAGTCACAGAGACGTTCTGACTTCAGTCCAAGTTCAAAGGGTACATTCCGACGGAGCTCTAACTTGGGGGAAATGAACTGCCACGTTACTGCAAGGAAATGTGAAAGGAGAGAAACTCCTCTATCAGCAGTCAGAGGGATGTGATGGGACCCAATGGCGCTATTCTCGTTCCTCCAGCACTAGCTGGCACTCCCACAGCTGGGCTAAGATGGCTTCCAAAGTCCAGAATAAGACGCTGGCCCAAGGCGGCCCTGGCCCTCAGAAGCGAAGGAATCAAAGGTCCTTTTATTCTTCCTCCCTCCAGAACGTGCTCCCTCTCTGTTGCAAATGAAATGCTTGCCAGAATGAATTACTTAGCTCCAAACGGACATAAAGAAATCTTAAATAATGCATGGCCCTTGGAATTTTAATAAGTTCAGGTGACCAAACAAGTTGTTTGGTTTGTTTGCTTCTAGTTTGAGGCAGAAAATGCACTTGTAGTTAGGAGCCCCTCAGGAGCACTGAGGGTCTTGACAGAACCAAAACCTTAAACTTCTCAAGCTGGGAGTTAAGCTGACATCCGCACTCAATGCGTGAGACTGTTCCTACGCAGTTCTTTGCACTAGGATGCCCTCCTCCTCACTTAACACCAGCCTTCCCCTATGCTGGTGTATTGCTGCCAGCAGTTAACTCAGTTCTTCCAAGAACAGAGCCTGAAACGCATTTGTGAACTCCTGGCTGGCACTCCTCCTCCCCTCCACTCTCAGTCTGAACTCCAGGCAATTATGCTCCATAGCCCTCATCTGGCAATTAATCCTATACGGCCTTGTAACATATCTCTTGTAAAATGGATTCAATGTTTGTGCATTTATAGCTTGTCTTCACAAACAGATTAGAAACTCCTGAAGGCCAGGGAGTGGGTCTTTGCTTTCACAACATTCCACACACAGCACCTTACAAAAGCTCCTGAAATACCTGTTTATTTAATTGACAGATGCTGCTTGAACTTCTACTATGAACCAGGCTATCTCTCTCTCTGTCTCTCTCTCTCTTTCTGCCTGGATGATGCTGAGCACAACTACATTCTGTGAAGAGAAACACAGCACAGGCCCCAAAGAAGTCTGCCTCATCAGTTTCTAATACATTCACTAAACTATTCAAGATGAACAAGAAGCTAAGATTTCTTGCCCCCAAAGGAAGCCTACTAAAAAGTTCCCCGATTGCCTCCTCCCACTCAAGAAAATGTCTGCAAAGAGGAATGCTAAACTGCAAGACAATTTAGGCCCTTCTGTCTCATACATCACAGATAAGGGAAACTGGGATCACAAGGATCAGACCCTGTGCGGGTGTGTGGCAAGGCCAAGTGGAGTGTGGGTCCCTCCACTCAGTGTGGGTTTGCTTCCACCATTTGACCCACCAGTGCTTGTGTCAAATGACTTTTTGAAAACAAAATCCTTCAAAAGTAAAGTGGTAGTCCACCTCCACCTACTATGGTGTACTTTCTGTCAGTCTCAGAAAATCAGGAGAGCTGATTCGTAACATTTTGAATTCAAACACCTTTTAAACTTTCTCAATCTATAATTTATGAAGTACTTAACCAAATACTTTTAAGATTAACTCCAAAATATGGCATTTTACTCCCTAAAACCCTGTCATTTTATACTCTACATATTTCCTAAGCTGATTTATTGCAGCAAAATACAACGAGATATCCAACTGTGCTGTCAGCCAGATTACCCAAGAATAGTTTTTGCCATCTTGCTAACGTCTTAAAAATATTTTTTTTAAAAAAGCGGAGAATTCTAAAACTGCCCTCCTGATTGATATACCTTCCTAATGGTAATTTTTAATCCCAATAATCAACAATCAGATTTACAAATTCAGCAAGCTTTACATGGAGCATTCTGTACTTAGCATTAACCTTGAGTAAAACAAAAGAATTAACTATCATAAAGGCTTAATGTGATTGCTAGGGTCAAAGTTCCTGCCACACAGGAGCAAAAAGAAATCATCAGGAATTCCAATGGGATGTTTATTGACACCAAGAGAGCAAGAAGATTCTTCTTTCAACAGAATAACTAGGCTTGTCCAGTCACTGAGTGAAAGATCAGAGTCTGGTGATTGCTCCTGATGACCACCAAAAAGGGGAGAAGGAGCTTCCAATCGCAGTCCTCTCTGTGGCAGTGACAACAGGGACTTGGTGCTTAGCACAGGCCCTCAGTTGTCCTGAACCGAGGAGATGCTGGCCCGCGCCCCATCCTCCACATCAGATGTCAGGTGCTCACCGGGTAGGAGGGGCTACTTCTGTTTCTAGGCGCATTTCCAGAACCTGGGGTATGTTCCTGAAGTCCAGACAAGAGCTGTCTTATTAACTGGCAGCTGCAGAGCAGACAGAGCCCACGCTGAGCACAGATTACCCACCCAAGAGCAGGCTGAGCCTTGCTCCCAGGCTGGCTGTCAGCTATCAGGCCACCTTGCTCTGGCCTCAGAAGCAGGTTTTCCTGCTGGGGTGCACACCTGCCCAGTGCCAACAGCCAGGCCAGGGAGGATCCTGAACCTGGTGCCCAGGCTTGTGACAGGCCACAGGCAAGTGCCTCCTGCAAGGCCACGGCGGTAGCCAGCTGGCTTGAAGCAATCTTCTGTTTACAGACTTACACTGTATTTCAGCTAAAATTTCAAGTCTTGCTGAAAATCCCACCATTAGTTCTTTAACTCTGAAAAAAATCTGTGCACTGCTGTTGAGTGTATATTATCAAGAGTTTGTTTTCTATAATCCTAATGACAGTGATCTGTATAGCATTCTACTCCCATCCTTAACAAAATAAAAAAGAAAGAGGCTGTCTACTTTATAAAATAGGAGAAAACCAGCAACACAGTAATAACAAAACTGAATAAAAAGCATAAAAATTTTCACCTCCTTTTTTTTAAAGATTTAATTTTTTTTGAAAGGGAGGGTTATAGAGAGAGAGAGGAAGAGAGAGAGAGATCTTCCATCTGCTGGTTTACTCTCCAAATGGCTGCAATGGCTGGGGCTGGGCCCAGCCAAAGCCAGAAGCTTGGAGCTTCATCTGGTTCTTCCATGGGGGTACAGGGACAGAAGCACTTGGGTCATCTTCCGCTGCTTTCCCAGGTATATTAGCAGGGAGCTGGACTGGAAGTGGAGCAGCCAGGACTCAAACTAGCACCAACGCTGGCATTGCAGGTAGCAGCTTAACCCACTACACCACAACACCAGCCCCACACCTCCATTTTAAGTGGTCTTTAAAAAATTTATAAGCACATACAAAAGATCCTCACCGGGGCTGGTGTTGTGGTGCAGCAGGTTAAGCTGTTAAGCAGGTTAATGCCAGCATTCCATGAAAGAGCCAGTTCCAGTCCTGGCAGCTCCACTTCTCATTCAGCTCCCTGCTAACACACCTGAGAAAGCAGCGGAAGATGGCCCAAGTGCTTGGGCCCCTGCACCCACATGGGAGACTCAGATGGAGTTCCAGGTTCCTGGTTTCAGTCTGGCCCAGCCTCAGCGGTTGGTGCCCACTTGGAGAGTGAATCAGCAGATGGGAAGATCTCTCTCCTTCTCTCTATAACTCTGCCTTTTAAATCAAAATAAAAGAAATATTTTTAAAAAATGATTCTTATTGTTTTGCAAATACAGAATAAATTAGAAAGATAAGAGAAAGCAGGGAATCTGCTCACCACTCCAGTCTTTCTCAATTTGTTTTAGTTCATCATTGTCACTCTCTTTAGGAAATTCCAATGGTAGGAGTCTGTCCTGGTAGTTAAGCCACAGTTGGTTGTATTTCTGTTCAACTCCTGGCCCCAGTTCTCAATTCCAGTTTCCTGCTAATACAGATAGACCCTGGAAGGCGAGGGTGATGGCCCAAGTGATTGGGCTCCTGCCACCCTCGTGGGAAATCTGGGCTGTGTTCTTGTTCTAGGCATCAGCCTAGGGGCCACCCTGGGCATAAGGAAGTGAACCAGCAGAAAGGAGCATGCTCAGACACTCTCTCTTTGCCTCTCTGCTGCTCAAATATATGAATAAATAAATGTAAAAAGTTAAGAAAATTAGAGAAAGGCTTCCACATTAGTTGAACACACAGTGTGCAAGCAAACAATGCTGCTTAAGTTGACTAGGAAATGGCAAACATACTATGGATTTGTAATGGACTGCTGGCGGCCATAATTTGAGATGTCTTTAAAGACATCTGTGGCGTAGTGGGTAAAGCCGCCACTGCAGTGCCGGAATCCCACATGGGTGCCAGTTCAAGACCCAGTTGCCGTACTTCTGATCCAGCCCTCTGCTATGGTCTGGGAAAGCAGTAGAAGATGACCAAGTCCTTGGGCCCCGGCACCTGCTCCTGGCTTCAGATGAGCACAGCTCCAGCTGTTGTGGCCAACTGGGAAGTGAACCAGCGGATGGAACACCCTTCTCTTTCTCTCTCTCTTTCTACCTCTCTCCCTCTCTGCCTCACCTTCTCTCTCAGTGTAACTGTGACTTTCAAATAAATAAATATTAAAAAAAAGAACTAAAACAATTTTTCATCTTAAACACCCTTCAATATCATAGTAATCAGTGTTCGGACTACCCTATAAACACTGTAAATGGTGAGACAACTATCAAAACCCCACAGGTGAAATATTTCCCAACCAAATCAGGATGTTCATAAATGCCAGAAGTCTCATTTAATAATTATAGTTCCAAGCATCCAACATATTTTTTCACAGCAAACCTGTTCATTAAAATCCATTATCAAGCAATATTTTGCAGACTAGGTGGCCAACAATGCTCCCTTTCATGCAGAAAATGGTCTACATGAAAAGAAAACAAACACAGAAAATGAATATGCATGCCTGTATCTTCCAGGACCAAAACTGCTTTAGCAGAAAACATTCTAAATGGATATTAAGACCAAAAGATCAATAATTTGAGAATATCAAAATATTCTGGGCAACCACCTCAACAGATAAAAAGCTTAAGGCAAGCCTCAACTTGTAACATGGTCCTCCTGGCCCCTCAGTTGTAAGGTTACTTGCCCATGGTCTTCCTGGGCCATCTCCATCTCCATTACCAGTGTAGAAACAAACCAAAAACCTATTGCCACAGCAGGCAACACTCTCCACTGCTGCAAAACAATTTAGGAACTCACTGCCTCAACTATTTCTAGGATTTCAATCTACATTGAGCTTGTTTCTCAAAGTATCTATAAAAGGGCCAGTGTTGTGGTACAGCAAGTAAAGCTAATGCCTGCAACACTGGCATCCCATATTGGCAATGGTTTGAGTCCCAGCTGCTCTACTTCCCAAACAGCTCCCTGCTAATGTGCCTGAGAAAGCAGGGGAAGATGGCCAAATATATTTGATGATATTTGTTATGTGGGCCCCTGCCACCCACGTGGGAGACCCAGATGGAGTTCCTAGCTTCAACCTGGCCAAGTCCTGGCCAATACAGCCATTTGGGGAGTGAACTAGCAGATAGAAGATCCCTGTCTCTCCTCTCCTCTCTCTCTCTCTCTCTCTAACCTCTCTTTCAAAGAAATAAATAAATGTTTAAAAAATAATCTATAAAATATCCATACCACTCAACTCGGGTACTGCTGGCTGACTTTTTCACATATGCTTATCTCATCACCCCAAAGACTCGGAAAGCTACTTGAAGGCAAAGACATCAGCACTGTGTCCCTAATCTACAGCCTGCCTGTTCTTTGCATTCTCAACTCATATTCACAGAATCACAGACTATAACTTGAATGGACCTTCAGAGATGACCTAGTCTGAGCTCCACATCTGAATGAGCCAGATGAAGTCACCAACCTTTAAACCTCAGTCAGGCAGGCAGATTTGGGCTCCAAATCCTACCTCTGGCACACTCTGGTTATATAGCCTATTTTGTGTAAAACAGAGATAAAAATCTACCTCAGAAAAATGGTTTAATCATCAAATAAGATCAAATACATTTTTTATTGTATTCCAAAGGCAGAGAAACAATGAGCGACACATAGGCATTTTTCCATCCACTGGTTCATGCCCAAAATGCCTGTGACAGCCAGCGCTGGGTCAAGCTGAAGCCAGGAGCACAGAATGCAATCCAAGTCTCCCATGTGGGTGGCTGGGACCCGAGACCTGAGCCACTATCGACTGCCTCCCTCAGTGCCCAAGAGCAGGATGCTGGATCAGAAGTGGAATAGCAGGGACTCAAGCTGGGTACTCAGATATGGGAGGGAAGCTCAAACAGCATCTTAACTGTTCCACCAAATGCATACAAATATAAATATATATATATTTACTTTTTTAGTCCTTTTAAAGATACAATCTTTTCGGTTGATTTTCTTCCTGGTTTCTATTATCTTAAACTGCAAGCGTAAGAGGCAAGGCTTTTTCCTATAGGATTTCCTAACCTTATGGTTGGTGCCTAGTACAGTCTTGATGTCTTTTGAGTGAGTCATGAAGCAACCATGCAAAAGAAAGCATTAAACTCCACTACCACTAGCAAGTTGTGTGTTACTCTTTAGTTCTCCCAAGAACCTCATCTCTTAGGTCCATGTCTTTCCTAAACTGTGCCTTCTCAAAACAAACATATCTACCTTCCAACTCCTCCTCTCTGTCACCCATGAAAGCTTCTCTTCAGAACTGAAAGCTAAAACAAACACAAAGCAAACAACCCTGCCCCTGCCTCTCTCAAATTTTTAGCATCAAGTGTGCATCTTTACCAAAATATTCGGGCAAACTATGATAGACAGAGACAGGATTTGGAAGCGAGTCCCTCCGCAAAATTAGCTGTCCATAACAAACGGAAAGTAAACCAGAAACTCACTGGGGAGCTGTCAGTGAAGTTAAATATCACACTTCACTCTCTGCTATGCAAGTAAACAGTGACTAACAGGATTAACCGGAGCTCCATACCAACTGTAGATGTTCTTTAAAAAAAAAAAAAAAAAACAGGTTCCATCCACGCAGGTAGTGCCTCATGCTTACGGGAGCATTTGTTTTGCTTTTGAAAACACAACTTACAGAAAGTCATGTTTCTCCAGATGCCAGGACAGAAGTGTCATTTCTTCCCTTTGCAGGGGCCAGCGACCAAAGAACCAATGGGGAGGAGGAATACCAGAGCCCTTTAGAGGACAGGGATTCCCACTACAGTGAGGCGGAGTCTTTCAAGGAATATTTCTCCCAATAGCTACGACGACTTGACACACAGTGTGCGTCTCGTATCTATTACACAAATACCATGTAAGCCACTCCGGTGCCCTGGGAAGGGACCGCAACACACAGAAATCCCTCGTGGCTTCAGCGGGGCATGACAGCGCGTCCAAGGCGCCCAAACACCAGCCACTAGGCTCCCCCCAGCGCACGCAGCCGCCAAGGCTCTCGGGCCAAACCCCAGTGCCTCTCAATTCCAAACCGCGAAAATGCGAACCCTGCTCGGCCAACGCCAGGGTGCCTAAGAACTTTGCTTTTTCTACGCCTTTTGCAGGTCTCTCCTATCAATGTCGCAGGTCCGCCTGGAGGGGCAGGAGCCGGGAGCGTGGACTAAAGGGAGGAGGGCTGGGGGCAGTTTTCCTAGTGCGCGAAATGTGGGGGCACAGCGGCGGCTATCAAGAAAGGTGACCGCCCCTCTCGTCGTGGCCCCCTACCCCGGCTAAAAGCAAGAAGGAAACCAGGCAGCGGCGCTCAGCTGGAAACGCCGGGCCCTCCGAGGGGACGCCGAGGCCCGCGAAGCAGGGCCGGCTGGGATCCAAAGCAGCAAAGTTGCTGGCCAAGTGGAACCAGGGCGAGCGTGAACAGCACCCGGTCCCGAGGCTGCCAGGGGCCGGGGGGGAAAGAGGCCGAGATGGGCGGCCCCGAGGAGGGGTGTGGGCGCGGCGGCCGGGGCTCTACTTACATAACGCTTCAACTTTTTCTCCGGCGGGGACTTGCGGAGCCATCCCGAGCAGACCACTTCGCCGCCGCTCATGGTGCCCGATCGAGAGCCCGGTGGGCGCGCTCCCGACACAGCCGACACGCACCCCGGGCCGTCGGGGCTGGCCGGCTCCGCGGCTCGCTGGCCCGGCGCGATCGAGCCTCTCTCCTCCTCAGGTCAGCAGGCGGGAGCGCAACGTGAGCCGCGGTTTCCGCGGGGCCGAAGGCGCGCCGGCCTCCTTTCAGTGCGCCCACCTCGGGGTCCCGCCGGCCGCCGCTTCAAGCAGCGTTTGGGCTCCGCGGGACTCTGCCCGGACACGGAGCCGGAGCCTCGGGCCCCCTGCGCTCCGCCCCCTGGGAACAGGACCTCCGCCAGCAGCTTTCCGAAACAAGACAGCAATGCACAGGCACACACACAATGCCCAGTCCCGCGCGTCCGCTCTCGGTCTCGGTGCGCCCGGCGCGATCTCCTCCTTCCCTCTTCCCCGGAGGAGGGCGGGTCGCTGCTCCGCGGCGCCCGGGCAGCCGAGAGGAAAAGGAAAAAGCCGCGAGGCTCCCGCGGGCAGCGGACGCAGGGCAGGTCCCGCGCCGGCGAGGGAGCCGCCGATTCTGAGGCGAAGAGCGAGCGGGCGGGCAGGCGCAGGGGAGTCGGGCGCTTGAGAGGTCGCGGGTCCGGGCGGAGGGTGGGTCCACTCTCGCGGCCGCCGCGGAGGGCGGGGAGCGGCGGAGGAACTGGGCGCTCGGCGGCGCGGCTCCAGGGAGGGATCCCACTGTCCCGTCCCCTCGCGCTCCTCCCCCGCCGCCTCCCCCACCCCGGGGCGCGCGGCTCCGCGCCCGCTCCCGATCCCTCCCTCTCCGGCCTGCGAGCTCCCTCTTCCTCCGCCCCTTCCCACGGTCGGGCCCAGCTCCGTTGTGTGCCCAGACTTTCTCTTAAACTCCGCCGGAGCGCTTCCAGCCACAACAACAAGGGCCAGGGAGGAGGAGACCGACGGAGGGAGGGAGGGGACGAGGGAGGGAGGGCGCGGGAGTCCGAGAGGCACCCTGGGATCTGTAGTTCGGGGAAGCTGGAGCAGGGTCCCCGGCCGCCCCGCGGCCCCCAGCCGGCTCCCAGCCCGGGAAGGCGGCGGAGGCCTGGGCCGAGGGCGACGCCGCGGGGGCTCGGCTGCGGGGCGGAGCGAGGGACGTCCGAATGTCCGGTCCTGGGTTTGCCATCTTGACTGAGTCCAGGTGTCAGTTGGGAATCCAACTGGTGCCAGCGATCAGAAGTTTTTTTTTTTTTTTTTTTTTTTTTTTTCCTTTTGGAGGTTGCGGGGCGGGGGTGGGGAGTGGGGTGCACTACTTGACAGCCTGAAAAGAAAACCGGCCTGGAGGGAGGCAGCGATGCCGCCCACCGCAGCCGCTCGGGACTGAAGGGCTGGGACCGCAGGGCGAGGCGCGGGGGAGCGCGCCATGGCGACCAACCTGCAGGCGGAGGACCGAGGGGACCCACCGGGGCTGGCACGGAGTGGCCTCGGTGGAGTTCCGTTGGAGGGCTGGGGGCGCTGAGCGGGGCCACAGGACATGAATGGGTCTGACTCTGGGACATCCTAGACTGCCTCCGTTTGGTGCCTGTGCCCTCCACTTGCCTCCGTGCCTCAAAAGTGGACCCCCGGGATGTTGGCTAGAAGACGGAGCCTTCCTGGGTGTCCAGGTTCTGTTTGCCTCTGGGCGTGAATTTAACATGATCCTGTAACAGAAATCTTTTCCGATTATTTATGAAAAGCAAAGCCCCCGTACACACTTTAGAAGATAATGTAATCAAAGTGCTAAAAACACGAGGAGATAAAGGAACATGTCTGGGAAAAATAGCTTTTTGTTAACATCATTTTCGGATTTAAGAGTCCCACTGAGTTTGAAATGTTATACACTGGGGTAAGAAATGGGGTGACAAGACATAGATCCTACGTAAATGGAAGTGGTGGCATAGGACGGTAAACAAAGGTCAGCAAATCCACAGTTTGGAATAAACGTGTGCTCTGAGGAAACACACAGGGCAAGCAGAAACAGCGGTGGTGGCACTGGGATAGGATGAGAGGGTTGTCTTCTTCAAGGAAGTATTTTACCCGAGACTTGAAAGATGAAAGGGGGGCTCAACTTCTGTTTTGTGGATAAGTAAAGGGAAAAACGTAAGCAGGTCTTGAAAGAGAAGGAAGCAGCAAGAGGGTTACTTTATAGTGAGCCCAAGTGGCAGTGGTGTGGGAGGGAAGCAACTGAATTGTGCAAGCTGTCGCCCCCTAAGCTGATCAGAGATGCCCCCATTGCACTGTTTAAGCGGGCTTCCTCCTTCCCTATTATTCTCATTAGAATAATATCCCCTACACTGTCCAGCAATGTCTGAGAATACCCAGACAATACAGATGGTAAAGTAACCCAGTAAGTTATCAGAAAATAAGGCTGGCATTCTAATGCTATCTTCCACTTATAGAGAGAGCATCATTACTAGAAAACACATCTGAAGAGATCTGGTTCTGTTGGCCTTTAGGGGCTTTCATCTTTTGGCAGGTACTTCAGAGTACGGCCAGGACTAAGCTTCTTCCAGACCTGGTTTCATTTCTCCAGTCACCCGTGTAGAGTCGTGACCTTGGGCAAAGTACACAATGAATTTCAGTTTCCTGATAGGTGAAATGGACCTGACAATACTGACTTTACAGAATTTCAATGAAAATTCGACATCATAGAATTTTAAATGCTGGGCGTGTAGATGTTGGAGGGTTTTGCTGCATGTTAGGACATCAGTAAGTGTAATTTTTATGGAAGTTAATAAACCAAAGCAATTCTTTTAATGTGTGTGAACATAGGTCATCCCACAAAAGTCCTCCAAATGAAAATAAATCATCAGATACTCCCACAGGCAGTGTGTACACTGAATTAAAAGTAATTAGAGTTAGCATTAGCATTGGAAGGCCAGTCCTCTGTTGGACAGTTAACTGTTGGCTTTAGCAAATTTACTACTCTCTCCATTCTTGTTACATTCTTGTCCTTTTTAATTGGAAAAAAAATGTAATGCAGCTTGTAGTATTTGGCTTTTGGGATTTCCAACATTTTTATTATTTAAAAAATTACTCATCTAAAATACAGAGAGATAGACAGATCTCCCACCCACTGGCCCACTCTCCAAATGCCCATGATAACCAGGGATGGACCAGACTGGGTTGAAGCCGGGAGCCAGTATTCATTCACAGAGCCGGTATTCATTCTAGGTCTCCCATGTGAATGGAAGAGACCCGATCACTTAAGCCATCACCTGCTGACACCCAGGGTACACATTTTCAGGAAGCTGGACTGGGGAGTGAGCAGAGCCAAGACTCAAATCCAGCCATTCTGATTTGTGATACAGGCATCCCAAGCATCAGGGTCTTAACCACCGTGCCAAATGCCAGCCCCACTATATTTTAAATGAGACATCCAATTATCTTGTTTTCCAGTAAGATGCCTTTTAAGTCATTTCCCTGACTTCTGCTATGTTGTGTTTCCAGAGGTTTAAGATATGTCTCCATGTATGTACAGTATTTTAGAAAGGAAATTTTCATTACTTTTACATTAAGAAAGTACTTCAGAAAGTTTGGAGAAAACAGAAGGAAAGCAACAGTTTTAGGGGCCAATGTTAGGATGTAGCATGTTAACCCACTGCCTGCAATACCAGCACGCCATAATGGAGCACCAGCTTGAGCCACGGCTGCTCCATTTCTGATCCATATTTTTGCTAATGAGAGGAAGCTGAAGATGGCCCAAGTATTTGGGCCCTTGCCACCCGCTTGGGAAGCCAGAATGGAATTTTGGGCTCTGGACTTCTTCCTGGCCCAGCTCTGGCATTGTGGCCATTTGGGAAGTGAATTACTGGATAGAAGATACTTTTCTCTATCTCTCTGCTTATCAAATACATAAATAAAATCTTTTAACAAAATTATATTTAAAAGATCTGTTTATTTTGACCCCCCAATGAAATCCATGCATGTAAATGGTTTTCAGAATGTTCATGGA